ATTTTTCTATTAAGATGCAGACACATGCATACACGCATTAGCCTAGGCCTATACAGGGTCAGGATTATCAACATCACTGTCTTCTGCCTCCACATCTTATCCCACTAGAAGGTCTTCAGGGTCAGTAACATGCATGGAGCTGTTATCTCCTATGATAGCAATGCCTTATGAAATACTTCCTAAGAACCTGCTTGAGGCTATTTTACAGTTAACTTTTTTTTTTTAAAGTAGGTAGGAGTAAACTAAAGTAACAATAAAAAGCATGATATAGTAAATACATAAACCAGTAATGTTTACTATCATTATCAAGTTATTCTGTGCTGTACATAATTGTATGTGCTAGGCTTTTATATGACCCAGGCATCACCACAAACACACGAGTAGTGCATTGTGCTATAGCATTATGATGGCTACATCGTCAATAGGTGACAGGAATTTTTCAGCTCCATTGTAATCTTGTGGGACACTTTCATATGTGCAGTCTGTGATTGACCAAAATGCCATTAATGGGTGCATGACTATAATTCTTCTACATTATGCAATGTTGGCTAGGTGCTACCATCATCTGAGGGATCAACTGGGCTGGAACATCTAAGATGACCAACTCAAATATCTGATGCCTTGGTTGGTCTTCCTTGAAGGCTGGGGTCTATTGGGGTGCTGGGATGGCTAGGCCACATAATCTCAGGGCCACCTCCTGTATGCTTGACCTCTCTACTTGCCCAATTTAGGAAGGTAGCTAAACCTTTTACATGGTGTTAAAAGGATTTCAAAAGTAGAAGCTTCCATTAAATTAATTCCACTAAATTAAATTAAGGCTTAGAAGATTATATTCCAAAAGTAGATGCTACCCTGACTTCTTAAGGCTTAGTCTCAGAACCATCACAGCATCACTTCCACAATATTCTACTAGTAAAGCAGTCATAACGCCACCCTAGTTTTAAGAAGAGAGAAAATAACTACACGATTTGAAAGGAGAATTCCAAAAGCTCAGTGACCATCTTTAATGTACGAAATCAACATAGTTACTGAACACTAGCAGCATCTGTATGGTATAAGTGAGGATAACTTAAATTTTTAAAAATTCTTTTGGTAGAGAAATTAAATTACCTTAAATAATAGATCCATTGGAGGGTCATAACAAGACTCTGAGCTACCTGACTACCTGTCCACAAGCCCTACCTTCTTTCCCAGCTTTTGATTCACTTTTTCATCCTCACTTCTAAGTATAAGTAGATAATCAAATATTTTCAGGTATCTGGGGGAAATCTATGTGAAAAACAAAGAATTCCTTTTCTTGGTATCTTTGTTTCTTCCGAGCTCTCTTTTATTTGGATGCTAATAAATGGAATGCTTCAAAAATGTATATAATTAACATTTTAAGGAGATAAAAGAGAAAATTGCATCAATGAAATAAAAAGAGTACTATAAAAACAGAACAACCAGACAACAACGAAGAGCCTTTGAAAATTAAACATGAACAAAAAATTAATAGAAGAGTTGGAAGACAAAGTTAAGAAAGTAACTTTTGTTATAAAGTAGAGCAGAATGACAAGGATATAGACAATATAATAGAAGATTCAAAATTTAATAATTCAGAAGACTCAATTTTCAACATCTAGAAGTTCCGGAGTGAAGAAATAAAATGGTACAAGAGTAACTACTGAAAGAAAGAAGGAAAGGAAGAAAGGAAGAGAGATGAGGAGGAAGGGAAGAAAGAAAAGCAAGTCAAGGCCACAAGAAAACTTCCCAGAATTGAAATACATAGCTCTCCAGATTGAAGGCCAGCTTATTAACAAACCCACATGAGGATCCATCATCATGATATTTTAGAATACCAGGGGTAAAGAAAACTTTCTAAAAGCTTTTTGAGAGAAAAGATAGCCCAAACAAAGAACTGAGAACAAGAATGAAAATGGAGTTTTCGACAGCAACAATGGAAGCTGGAAACTCTGAGGGTTAACTATTCTCAGCCTACAATTCTCTACCTATATTCCATCTAGTCTGTGGGTAGAATAAAGACATTTTCAGGCACTGAGAGTCTTCTGATATTTCCCTCTGTTGTGCCATTTCTCAGGAAGCTATTGGAGGTTGTGTACTACCAAAGCAAGGGGTAAAACAAGAAAGAGGAAAACATACATTGGATCAAAGAAACATGGAATAAACATAAGAGAGGGTCAAACGGAATGCCAGGATGTTAGTGAAAGGAAGAAGCAGGATGAGGCTCTGCAGAAGCCATAGAGAAGTGAGTCCAGTTGGAGCAGTAGATCAGAGAGTGCAAGAAGACATGATTTCAGAGAGGAGAGAATGAAAGTGGTGAGGTATCTGGTAAGTTTGATCAATCATAAAATTATATTAAAAGGTGCTTTACAAAGCTGTGAAAGGTTGTGGAATTAATCAGATGTTAAAAGGAAACTAAACAAATGAAAAACTGAAGCAATCATTAACTCCTGGAAAAACTAAAAGTTGTGCAAGAATGAAAGCGTAATCAGACTATACCAGTTGTGTTAACAGTCAGCAAAATGTATAGCCATAATAATGAGAACTCGGAAAATGATTTCAACTAAGAATTGAGATATAATGATCTTATGAGAATAGATGTAGAAGAGTATCTATAAGTGAGATTACATTTTCATCTATCATGATATAAAGTCAATAATGTCTGAAATTGGTGGACAAAAAGAAAGCAGTGTATCCATTTTGGTTACAAGTAAGGCTATAAATACCAAAAGAAGCACTTTAAAAAGTTTAAAATGTTTCCTTCTGGGAAGTAGGATGGGAGAGAAATGGTAAGTGCAGTCTTGAGGAGTCTTAATAGGGCTCTTTGCTGTAGCATCCAAACAACCTGCTCCTTATCCTACAGCCACTTCCCTTTCCCAGCCAGACACCCCACGCCCTATTATAACTCCTTGCAACCCATTTCCACTCTGTCACAAATCGCTTTCCACATTAACTACCTCCACCACCACTCCAGGCTCAGACATTGCCCAGACACATTTTACTGTCTGTTTGAACTTGCGATTAAGTCTTTGAGACAAGCATGTTTGTTGTCTGCGAGTCCCAGAAGAAAGTGCAAATGAGAGACTGTAAAAAACTAAGAATCTGGGACCAATAAGATCAGGGGAAAGGTTTTTCAGCCTAAAACACAGGTGGCAAGTGGACAGCCACATTTATTCAGGTTTTGAAAAGATTGTTAATCTAGTATGGATAGTCATGTTTACTGGTTCATACTCCTTCCCAAATCCGTCCTTCAGGTCTCACCTCCAGCATAAAATCTTCTCAATCTCCCAACTTGCAGGGTCATCTCCTTTTCAGGGCAGCAGTACCCTCAGTTGTGTCTAACCCCCAGCCCATCAAATCTCTGGGTGTTTCTCCAGACAGCTTTGGGAGAGAAATCACAAAGCTCTGCCTTTCTATTCAGTACTTAGATCGTAACAGTGAGCAATGAGAGCATTTAAAGACCCCCAGCAGGGGCTGAATTTGTTGAATTGCTTGACTCACCTCTCAGCAAATGCCTTCCCTTGTGTCCTTCTCTTCCTAGCTGAACTGCGAGCTGCTGCCTGCCTCTTCATATCTGTGTTCACAGCTCAGAGTACAGTAGGGCCACTTAGTTGGTGCCAATAAATGCTTATTGAACGAAACAATGAATTTAATGACTTGTATATTTTACTGATAGTTCTTGCCCTCATTAGCTGATGCTAGCACAGCAAAGCTTAGTTAAATTACACTAAGGGAGTGGTTCTTAGTGTGCGATCCCTGGACCAGGAGCATCAGCATTACCTGGAAACTTGTTAGAAACGCCAAGTCTCAGATTGCACCTGAGACCTGCTGAATCAGAAACATTGGGGGTAGGGCCCTCCAGGCAATTCTGATGCACGCTCAAGTCTGAGAATCACTGCACTATTTCCTCTCACACCCATGGATATATCTTGCCGTGCATTTTCTCACACACAGGTATTAGTGAGTGAGGTAAAGTAACTACTGCAAAAAGTAAGACTGGCTCATAGGGGCCCTCATTGCCTGATGGCAGGACTTCGGGCAGATAATTTGCTCTAAAGAAATGTGATCTGATATTTTTAAATCCTGTTAAGTATTTCCTCTGGCATTCTGGCAGGAACTATGGCCTTCAGCCATGCTTAAAGGTATCCAGGTTGGACAAGAGGAAGGTTGCTAGACCTGAGTAACCAAGGGAGGGCCTAGAATCTCACCACTGAAATGCAAGGGAGTGGACAAGATGATTCATGATGCCACACACCAGACCTAAAGAGCAAGTGTCAGATTCCTGTTCAGAACCCACCCTGCCTGCTGAGCACCTCTCCTGTCCTGGCAGCCGCTGCTCTTCCCCCACCACCCTTCCCTCAGTCTCCATCCGAGAGCCAGCAGCCAGGTCCAGCAGCAGATTTATAGCTTACCACCATGAATAATGCAGCAGCCTAGCTCTCAAGGCAGAAGCTTCTGGGCAGCCCGTAAATCACTACTGACACTGTGCCAGCCTGCTTAATCAGCTGTCCCCAGGGCACCTCAACAGAGGGAAAGAGGACATGCTGGCCGCATCCAATACCCCATTAATAAGGCCCAAAGCTACAGCAGCTGACCCCTCCCTGCAAGCCTCGCAGCCCTCACATCATGGCCCTGTAGGGGAGAATCCCCCAAGAAAGAACAGCAAAAGGACATGGAGGAGAGAGGAGACACAGCCCTTGATCCAGAAGCCCCAGCACACACACACATGCATGAGTACTTCTGCTCTAGAGCTCAGTGCCACAGTGTGAGGCTATACATGTCATGCACCACTGCATAAGGGCCCCAGCAGCCCAGTTAGCACCCAGTGAGCTTTGCACTAGCTCAGGCCTATATGCCCAGCCAGAGGGGGTATCTATTTCTGATTTGATCAAAGCTGTGATCTTTGTCCACAGTTGCAGTGATGAGTGTACTCCTGAATTCCCACCTCCTTCCTAGCTCAGGGCACTGGTCCTGCCTCCTCCTAGAACCCCAGTCTCCCCAGCTGCTTTTCCTTCTCCTGGCCTGTAGGCTAAGGCCCTGCCTCCCATGTCCCATCATCTCTAGGCACTGACTATGGGACAGGATTTTTCAGTGCCATTTGCCCCAGACTCACCACCACCTATAAACTACTAGGAATGGGATGCCCAGAGCTGACACTGCCACAGATTGCTGCAGTCTGCAGATGAGCACAGCCGTGGAAATGACTTTCCCTGAGACAGCCTGCAGCAGGGTCATTCTGAGTTCCCTGACAGGCAGGTCAGGGAAGCCCCTTGCTGTGAGTAACCAGACGATGGATGACCACCAACTAATAGCAGAGTATTCAAATTCTCTCCAGTATATTTGCCTTCCAAGTGGTGTACATTTCCCATCAAGACCCCTCAGGCAAATTTTAACCAAAATCTAGCAGAAAGATCTTCTCAGATTAAGAGATAATTCTCAACCCACTAAAATCTGATTCATGAATCTACTAACGATTCTTATTCTTCATTGGGAAGGAGGATATTACTCATAATAAAAGAGTACGTTTGGGATGCGGGTGGGGGGTATGCACAGGGGAGCGGACATCTGAAAATAGAGTTAAGAATTCTAGAAATTCATGAAGTTCCCGAACCATGTCTCCTATCACATGACCCACATGGAAAATTGGACCAAAGCAGAGAGACACTGAATCCCCAGGGAGGCGGGAAGGCTGGAAAGCAGAGGGCCGAGCATCCCTGGGAATGGCGATTCCCTTGGACGTGCGGTTTCATGAATGAGCCAGGTTGCCTGCTCTGGGAAGAGCCTCTGAGGCCCTGGAGGTCACAGGGGCAGCCCACCCTAGCCACAGCAGGCCATTTCCTGCCTTGGCCACCCTCCCTCCCCCAGCCACTGCTAACTCCAAGCATTACATGACTCAGCACCTAGAACCACTGACCACTGAGTTTATCAGCACCCCTGGGAAGGCCTGGGTACCCAGAAGTCCCCAAATTCACTAATACCAACTGGCTGCCTGTGAAATGATGACTTTGTCCTATTTGAGAAAATGTAGCCCTGCCCTCAGTGGGGGCCTGTCCTGTGGCCACACTGTTAGCCACCACAGCTGGGCACTCAACAGATATTCATCACATAACCACAGCAGCCAAGACTCCATGGGAGAGCCAGACCTATGGTCTTTGTCTTGCTATTTTTCTGACCATCATTTAGTCATTCAACAAATGCAGCTGAAGCCTGCTCCACACAAGGCACTGGTAGCATATGGTGTGCAAAGACAAATAATAATGGCTGCCACTCAGAGAGCATTGCTGGGTCCCTGGCATGCTACATGTGTTAACCCTTGTAAGCTTGACAGCCACCATGTAAAATAGGTATATTTTATTATTCATATCACTTTATTTTACTGGAAACCAAGGCACAGAGAGGTTAAGTAATTTGCCCAAGACCACATAGCAAAATAACAGAACAGGTTTTGAACCCATACCACCTAATTTGAGTTCAAGCTCTGAGCAGCAGCATATCTTACTTCTCCAGAAACAGGTCTCTCTCTCAAGAGATCGTCCTCGAGAAAGACAAGGAACCAAAGAATTAGAATACTGAGCACCCTGAGCCAAAAATACTAACTCTGCAGGGCCCTGGTGCCTGACATGGGTGTCAACATAGGATTGCCAGGGGCACCAGGCTCTTCCCCAGTAAGGAGCAGTCTGTGAAAAATATCAGACACATAGAGCTTGGCAGGAAGTGGCAGACTCTCCATGGCTGTAGTCTAAAACAGGTGAGCCATGAGGCTGGAGAGGAAGGCTGAGGCCAGAGTCGAAGCCCTCAGCACCAGGCAGGGGTCTGTGGGCTCTGTCTTGTGGGCAATGGTAAGCCATGGACAGTTTCAAGCAGGGCAGTAACATAATGCCCCCATCCAAAGAGAGGCCCTGGCATGGGGGTGCTGGGGCATCTGTGGCTGGCTGTGGCTAAGGATCTAGTGGCCACTTCTCTGGGGCCTGGCCTGGCCTCTGCTTGCCTGGGCCCAGGGTGGGGCTGGGGGAGCCGGCTGGCTGTCTCCAGATGATTAAGGAGCTGGCAGCAGCTCCGTGGTCCAGGGAGGCTCCAGCCAACAAAGCACAGTCTTCCCTCTTTTCCTTTTGGCACCATGTGGGCCTATTGATGTTTATCAGCCCATGTTTATTATTCTTAACGCTGTTCAGGATGTTCCTCCTGGCTGGGGAGAGTGAGGCAGGCCAGGGGGAGAGCATGGGGCCAGGACCTTGGCCTCACTGCCACCCAGGGTGTGTGTCAGAGTTGGAAGGCTCACAGCTCAGTCAGCTCAGCAGCCTCATCGACAGATAAAGAAGTTGAGGCCACAGAAGGGGAGTGATTTACCCAAGATCACAAGCAAATAAGGTACGGGAATTTAAGAGCATGAACTCAGCTCTCTCAGTTCCTATAGACCCTGAGCAGTGCCTGGTGTTTTGTTCAAGACCGATGGGGTGCCTGTTATATATGTGGGCTCTGGAAGACCATTTAGGAGTTACTCAGGGTGTGAACGCTGAGATGGGCATAGGAAGTTGGTAGAAAGGGCAGAGAAAACAGCTTGGGCAAGAACTAGGAATATGCAGATCCTTCCAGAATTGGATATGTCTAAAAACCAGGGTGAAGATGGGCCGAGGTGGAAAATATGGCTGGAAAAAACAATAATACCGACTTTTTACAAAATGGAGAACTCCCTGAGAGGCCTCGCTGTGCATGCCAGACTGCCTTTATTCCTTGAGCGTTATTTATACTCCAGCTCACGGCGGCTGCCTCAAATCCCACTTCTAGAACTGTATTTCTCAAACACTCATTCCCCTACGAATGTAATCCACCCTGACTAGGATAGGAGGAAAGATGGACACGTGGTTGTATCTGGGAGAATGTGTCTCTCTCCAGAGAATGGGTTTGATGGGTATTTTAGTTCATTTGTGCTGCTAAAACAGAATGCACAAATGAACTAAGACTGGAATATTTATAAAGAACAGAAACGTAGTCCTCACAGTTCTGAAGCCTGCACAGTCCGGGATCAGGTGTCTGCATCTTGGTGAGACCCCCCTGCTATGTCCTCACATGGCACAAGGCAGCAGAAGTGAACCCACATGCGCTTCATATAGCAGCATGAATCCATTGTTAAGAGTGGTGCCCTTATGACCTAAACGACTCCCATTTGGCCCCACCTCTTAATACTGTTACAAATGCAACCAAATTCCAACACAAGTTTTGAGAGGGGAATAAACATTCAAGTCCATTCAAACAATGGGCAGTGGCAGCAGCTTAGGCTGAGAGCTGACTCAAGAGGGTCATAGTGGGGACGTAATGTCCCTCTGGAACCTACGACTGAAGACTTCATGCCAAGGGCTCCAGCCCAAGACACCAGCCTGAATAACCCCTCTGGGTTGAATCTAAGCCTCCCTTTCCCTCACACCCACCAGAAGTCTACAGAGGATGAGGCCTTCCACTCCCTGTGCTAAACATGGTGACACTTTAGCCCCAGCGTTAATCGGGGTCCCAGGACTAGGGGGACATTCTTCCAGCTCTGCCTCTCCTCTTCTCCCAGTCCACCTTTTCCCAGGTTCCCAG